ACAGCCTGGATGGACGGCCTGGGCTCAGATCGCCCCTCTCGTACTGTCTTACATGTAATCGCAGGACCATGTGAGTCCGAACTGTCCCGTTGTGGATAGAGTCACATAGGTATTCGAAGCATGTGAAACACCGTTTTGATTCCAAACGACTCTATATTCAACTAACCACTAAACATTTCTCTCATGTCAGGAGAAATTGGCTGCTCGAGTTTCCTGTTTCTGATCCGCGTCTCCTTTGAACGTGACAACCGTTAGTGATCACTGAAGAAAAACCCACTGCGCCCTGGTTCACATCAGCACGAAAATCACAGTCTCCCAACCCCATGTCACTGTGCCTCGTTCCAACACTAACACAAAATTAGGGCACACTTAATGCAGCTAAATTGCGTTCAGAGGTTTACGACTGAACCAAACACGAAATAGGTTCCTATGGACAAACAAATCTTAATTTAAAATAACCACGACCGAGTTGAGGATTTGGTGGGCCTCTCTCCCCCCACAGCCCCGCTCCCTCTATGTATGGCGCTAAATACTGACCCTTAGGGTCTGCACTGCTTAGCAAGGAATTTTGATAAATCGCTGCCTTTAGGTGAGTGTGTGTTTGCGGGTTGTGACATAAGTCAACACAGACTTAGTCCAAAGCAAATGTGCCAATTTCAGGTAAATATTTCCTGAGATTTCTTTGGAAAATATTTTCTTTACTAGTCTAGGAATAAAGGTATTGATTGGTATTTTTCTCAGACTCCTGGGGTTCTCCCCTTTAAGAATTATAAAGAACCACCTCTAGTTAATTATATCCTGCAATTATGTTGAGATTCCTCGTACTCTGAAGATGTGTAATAATACAAATGACATCAGGAAAAAATGGATTTTTAGTTTATTACTCCGAGAAAAGGCATAATCATTCCTTCTGTACTATATTTGCTCATCTGAATACAGAGAAAAAATTTAATTTTTGTGGAATAACTTTTTGAGGCGATTGTAGATTCACATGAGGTTGTGAGAGATACTGCGGAGGGTCCCGCCATCCTCCTCACTCAGCCTCACACCTGCAGCCTACGATACAGTCTCACAGCCTGGAGACGGGCACCGCACCATCTCCAGGCAGTGTTCCGATTTCTTCAGTTTGCAACGCCCTGTGTGCGTGTGCATGTGCGTGTGCGCGTGCACACCTGAGCTCTCTTCCAGTGCTACCATGTGCACAGCCTCAGGGGGCCGTGTGGGACACCCTTTCTGCCGTCCTGTGCAAAGCGTTTCATCGCGGCTTTCCTTTGCACGCTGCATGCCTGCCTCTCTCAGATCCTATTGCTGCTTTATGGCTTTCTGTTTCTTGGCCGAAGACACACGTTCACCTCGCCGTGGAGTTTTATTGCCTCATCGTGAACTCTCTGCTGGTGGAGAGCTTTGTCTCTGCTCTGCCTCTTGCAGAACATTTATCCTTTCCCATGAAAAGACACAAATATAAACAGACATTCCAGCGTGCATTTGCAGGGTTTTAAAGACACCAGTGAGAATAGATGAATATATATACGAAGCTTAAAAACTGTCATAAAAGTTCAGCCTTTAAAATTGGCTTATTAAAATATTTGTTTTTTTAAACCCAGCTTTAAACTAAAACTATGAGTTATAGTGCCGTGCTCACAAAGAGTTTACTTTATGACCTTCTTGCCAGGCAAAAGGAATCCGGCACCGGAGCCGTCTTTCCAGAGTCCACTGGAACAGGCATGATGAAAACCTAGTTTTTTCAGGCTCAAGACTTGTCTGAAAATATACAGTTTTTCGTAAAGCCCGATACAGTATTCTGTTCCGTTTGACCTCAAACAGACGCTCTCCAAGTCCCATCCGTCCAGCTCCTACTCTGGCCTGACGGATCGCCAGGCTTCCACTGACCTTTAAGGGAACAACAGCCACATCACAGAGGTCAGCCCCCTCCATCAGATCTTACCGACGGGTATTTTACAACAAAATATTGCTGATAATTCAGGGGGCTCAGTCTTTCATTCTGCATCTTCTGACCAATCAAACGCTCTACTGAAATTCTGCCTTTCCTTCCGATCTCCACAGGGAATTCATTTTCTTTTGAGACCAGCTAGCACTCCAATTAGAGCAGTTAACAGACCCCTGCAAGAGTGGATTTTCAGGAGGGAGGAGGAGGTCTGCACAGGAAAAGGCTCCCACTCCGTCCCCCAGAGTAACCACAAGTCCTCGGAGGAAAACTAGCTCGCTGGTTGAGTATGGTAACCCGCTGAGAATCTGGGCATACTTTGTAGAACTTAGAGAAGATATTTTCTTGAACCACAAAGCAGAGAAAAAGCAGAAACGTCTCATAAGTAACCGTCACCTCCCTCTACCCTCCACGCCAGGTGTCTCTGCCCCTGCCCATGAAGATCAGGCACTTACTGGAAATACTGAACACGCCTTTGAGACTTTTCCATTGATGAACCCAGCTGACTGTCCAAAGACACCTGATTTATTGTCTATCTGTGTTTTTAAATAGCAGGCCAAAGAAGACAGCCAGGATAAATATCAGCACCAGCCACACGATTTCCTGTGTTTCTCTTTATATCAAGGGACAGTTTAGCCCTTTTATTGTTACTGCTGTTCGTGTAGACACGGTGGTGGTGGTGGTGGTTGTTTTATGTGAAGACATCACACATTAGACATTAAAATCACATACCCTTTCCTCAAAGGTCCAGAAATCCTTTGGTGATACATGTAACTAATGTTTCTTTAAAATATTACAAATAAATAGCAAATGCCATTGAGCAACATATTCAAGAAATCAAACCAATGTTGACTGCATTTATGCTCCTAGAGATGAATCGGTTAAAAGCAAAAAGAATACAAAGTGTTTGCCTAATCTGCCCGATAAGCAAACACAAGGTGTGCCCAGCTCATCCCTATGTCAAGAACATGGTATTTCCCCTCGTCTTGTGCAGGGTGGGTATCTATCGACTTGGAAAAGACATGTTTATTGGAACTAGTCAATTAGATTCAATTTTATATAAATAAAAATAAATAGATCATTTGCTCTCCGGCTCATTTGTTACCCGTTACATTTTAAGGATTTTTTTCCCCCAAAACAAACTCTTATCAGTTATCATTTACTTATTACAAGTACTGCCTTTTATTTTTATATAATCTTTCATTGTGATCTATGTCTGATTCTCCCTGTTTTAGGAATGTGATTGCTTTGTAAAGAATTTTAAATGACCCTACTAAATTCTGCATGAAGGTACATCTCTCGGTATTTGTTTTCAATAATTTTCTGGAGGAAAATCTTAATGATAATTCTGTTGGCATTTTCCTTAAACAAAGCTGTATGTGTATATTTTTAAAAGATGACATTCCTCATCTGTTTGTTCTTATTTCAGAAGTGCTGTAAACTATGGTCTAAAGTGTAAATGAAATTGACTAATGGGCGCTCATAATTTAGGCAGCAAAACCCAGAATTAATGTATATCCTACTGCAGCGTTTCTGGGCTCAGCCAACCCAAACCCTCTTTCCTGGAGAAATATGTGATTGAGACACTTTCCATCTGCTTTTGACAAAGATAGGAGAGGATTCCAGTAAGTTCCTCTCTGCTAAAATCCTTTGTTAAGGACCTATACACCGATAATTAGTTTAGAGGGCGATTTCACCAGGAGATTTCGCAGTGGCACAGAAATAAAAACAATAAAACATGAAATAAAATCCACCTGTGCTAGATCAGCTCTTCCTGGGCACAACAAAAACATTTGCAGATATTCTAGAGCCACACACAAAAAGAAACAGAGCTGTTTGGGAGCGTGGGCGGCTGGCTCCTGAGGAATCTAAATTCCTTCTGTGAGAAGCAGAGGCTTTTATAAGAAAACATTGAAGGTGAGCAAGAAACTAAACATACTGAGAAGGAAGGATTTTTTAACACGTCCCCCCTCCCCCTCTTGCACCCACCCTTCCGCTGCCTGCGGACCACAGCCCCAGAGTCCCGGGGCAAGGCGGCGCCTCCGCGGCAGGAGCCCTTCTGGAGGGGCGTCCAAGGTGTCTGGTGAAAAGGCGCGGGTGCAGGACGCCTCGGACGCTCCTGCAGAGGAAACCCAACTCCCAGGACTCTCACAGCTGTGTCCTCTGAGCCTGTTCCCGCGGGGCGCGGCCAGCACCAGCGCGCATTCCCCCAAAACCTGTTTTCCAGCCTGGACCCCAGGCGCTTCCCCGCGGGGCTGGACGCCTGGACGCGGCGCGGCCGAGCCCCTCCCAGGACTGCCAGCTCCAAGGCTGGGACCAGGGGCTCCCAGCTCCTAGGTCCGCTCCACCTGCCTGCGGGCAGCCGGGTTCCCAGCGTGACGTCTGCTCAGGCCTCCGTGCTGAGATCTGCGCGTTTCAGCCTCGGCCCCTGCGCTCCTGGAGCGGAGCCGTCCGGCTCCCGGGCTGCACGGGTCCCCGAGCCGCCGCACTGGGCAGTATCCTCCCGCCCTCTGCAGGCAAACCTGAACGCCCCCGGCGCGCACACCGGACCCGCAGACGCGCGCGACAGGACTGCCAGAGAGAACTGGATGTCCCTCCGCGAGAAGAGTGTGAAGCCACAACCCAGCACCACCCGGCTTGGCGACCTCCAGGCCGGCCACCACCACGAGGGATGCAAAGGCAGCGGGTCCCTTTCTCTCTGCCCCTGGCCGCTGCGGGCAGTTCTTCTGATGCTCACTCTCCCAAGTCACCCACGGACCACCTCATGACACCAACAACGGAAAATGCAGCTGTGGCCAGTCAGCTCTTATCTGACTGACACCGTGCATGGAAGCTGGTGAAAAGCCCCAGCGTGCCCCCCTGGGACATGGGACCTTCCCAACCGACCCCCAACTGTTGCTAGGAGGAAAAGTGCTCCCCATTACGCCGCCCGGGCCAGCCCAGCCTCCTGGAGGAGTGACTGGCGGCCGAGCCATCTGCCCCCCGCGGCGGAGGGCGCCCATCGCACGCGCAGCACCTACCCTGGCGCGCCGGTCCGGACGTGGGTGGCGCGGCGCTAGTGGGAGGCGGACATGGACCACGCTCCCTCCATGCGCCACACGGAGAAGGCGTAGCTGAGGCGCTCGTGGGCCACGTAGCTGCAGCTGGTCATCTTATTGTCCATCTCGTCGCTCTGCAGGACCTGGTAGAGGAAGTCTATGTACCTGGCGGCCAGCTTCAGCGTCTGGATCTTGCTGAGCTTGTCCGAGGGCAGCGTGGGGATGATCTTGCGAAGCGCGGCGAAGGCCTCGTTGAGCGACTGGGTGCGCTGGCGCTCGCGCACGTTGGCCAGGATGCGCTGGCTCTGCAGCTCCTCGAAGGACTGCGCGCTCGGGCTGCCCTTCTTGCCGCGCTTGCCGGGGGTCGGGCTGCCATCTTCGCTCGACTTCTTGCTGTAGCGCCGCTTCCGGCCGAAGCGCTTGGGCTGTCGCTCGAGCTCCTCCTCGCTGGTGCCCAGGCTGTCCACGGGGGACACGGGCGAGCTGGAGCCCTCCTCCATGGCGCCCGCCCGGCGCGCGTGGGGCTGGGGGCGCCGGGCGCCGAGCGTGCGCTCTCGAGGTTGCTCCAGAGGCTCTGATTTCAAGGCCGGCTTGTGCAAAACCGAGGTCTCCGGGAGAGGAAGTTATTCTAACTTTTTTGGAAACTCTAGCCGGGCTGGGTTGCTAAATACTTGTCAGGAGCGAGGGCGACGCGCTGATTGGCCGCCGCGGCCGGGGGCTGGACAAGTCCTCGGGCCTTCGCCGACCGCCCCCGCCCCCCGGCGCGGCACTTTCAGTTTTGCCTCCCCCTTCGGCCCTGACCGCGGTGGGCACCCCGGAGGCCCGGCCTTCGCGCGCCTCCCGCACCTCCACCCCGGGCTCTGGCCACCCTCCTGCTGCCCCGCGCCCTGCGCCCCGCCAGCCTGGCTTTGTCTGCTCCTTAACGTGGAGATCGGGCCTCCCGGAACGCGGGATCTCTCCCGGGGCTCGAGGGGCCCCGGTGGCGAGTCTTACTTTTGACGCACTCCCAGGAGGTGAGGACGCGGCGGGGAGCCTCCAGGGGCACCGGAGCCTGTGCGCGCCTTGGCTGTCTCTGGGCGTGCAGCGAGCGCAGTGGCCCGCACGCTCGGCCTGGGGTTGGGAACCAGCGCAGTCAGGGACCCCGGCGCCCCGGCCGCGGGCTTGGGGACACCCGGGTGTCCTTGGAGGTGCCGCTCCCCCAGGCACGCACCGCGAAGACCCCTGGAGTAGCTGACCCTCTGCCCAGCCCGTGGGGGAGGGGAGAACCAGTTCTCACCCAAGCTTGTTGGGGAGCCATGGCTCCGACCCCTTCGCAGACCCTCCGCCTATGTGCCTTAGAACCCAGCGCCACGGTGAGCCTCTGCAGGAAGCTCCGGTGCCCTCCTCGCCCACCTGCATGGTCCTGCCCAGGATGCGGGGCGCCCGCTGGGCCTGCGGGCCTGCGGTGCGGGCCTCTGTCGCTGCGCTCCCCCTTCGCTTCGCCAGTCGGCAGTGGACCGAAGACGTTCTGGGCAGCTGCTTGGCCTCCCCTGCGCTCGGCGCCCGCGGCAGGAAGGCATGGGGCGGCGGGAGCCCAGGGCCTGGCCTCGGCGGGCGACACCGTGGACCCCAGCCCTGCGCCATCTGGACGCCGAGCGCGGGCTCGTTTGAAGTGGTTGGGGGGGCTCTTTGTTCACCAGGCCGCTCTGGCTGGGGGCCTGGAGGTGGTTTACGGCTTCGATGCCTTTGAACCTATTCCCAGGTGACCCGGGCTCAATTAGGCCCGGGCCTGAGCGGGGCTGTCAGGCTAGCCGCGAGATCAAGGGCGGAACGGGCCTTTTCATTGAAGTTGAACTCGGGGCTGGCGGAGCGCGCGGCCTGGGCTGCTCCTCGGACCCGCGGGCCGGCTGCCGCGATAAGAAACTGCAGCGGGGCCTGCGCGGCCGAGCCGCTCGAGAGGACACTTCCCCAACAGTCGGGGAGAGAAGAGCCGGCCCTCACACAACGTGGCTGCGTAACAGCGAATTGTTTCTCGTTTCTTCCCGTCCTGGAGGCTTCGCAATTCTATGACTAAAGGGTCCTGGGACCCCGTGGCCAGCCCCACCCCTCCTGACTGTCCCCGCTCTGGGAATGCCCGGGTTTAACCAGGGCAGCAAACAGCTTTCGGGTATTTCTTTCTTTAAAAGTCTAAAATAAAAATTTCAGGAACAAACAAGCAGAAAAAGCCAGAGGAGCCTGCTCCCCGGTGGTCCCTTCCTGGGCTGTGCGTCTGGGTGGGCCTCCGATTCCCACTGTCCTGCACTGTCTGCCCCTGCCCTGGGCAGCCAACAGCAGTGGTTAGCTGCTCTTTTACCAACTCGCTGTGCCACTGGGTTGGAGAGTCCTAGGACCCAGACCCTCCTTGCCGGTCCAGCCTAAATGAGCCCAGTGACTTCCCTCCCCCACAACCCAGAAACTTCGCAGAGGAGAGGAGCCCGCCTGTGCCCGGCCTCCACCGCTCTTCTGTGTGCGTCTCTCCTACTGGTGATTGCATCAGAGTGCTTTCTGGAAGTCAGTTCCCAAAGCCCATCACCTGCCTAAATGACACCAGTAACACCAGTACCAGGCACTGGGCTTGGCCAGGGTTGACACCTAATGTCCAAGGCACACATCACACATCGGCAAGGTTCTCTTTTAAAATCCCCTTGAACGATGGCTCAGGAAGGCATATGACAGACCTTCGTCATGATGGCTCTGTCATTGTGCACAGGACAGTGTTACCCCAGCGCTCCTCCCCCTGCCCCGTGGGGGGTGCCCGTGGGGGGGTGCCCGCTCTCCTTTCCACTCTCCCTCTACTGCTCCTTCCCGAGTTGCAGGGCATGGAAAGCTGAAAGTGACCTTCCTGGGACACGGCAGCCTGGTCTGTAAGATGCACTCCTGTGGGTGTGGTCGGGAGGAGGGGCCGCGCGCTCTGCCCAGTCCGCCCTGAGTCCAGTGGCGGGATGTGTGGTCCCTGGCGCACAGTGTCTGGTCCCTGGATCTGGAGGGAGGGTGCGGACATGTGTTTCCTGGGTGGAGCGCTGCAGGAGTGGCCCAGCGGGGGAGCTGGAAGCGGCTCCTTGATCCGGGGCGCTCTGGGATCCCTGTTCTCCCGGGGTTCCAGTCTGCAGTGCAGCTGGGAAGCCAGTCCCCAAAGCTCTGCCCGAGCGGCTCATTCAGCTCCACACCACTGCATTGGGGCCTCGGAGAAGCTGCTCCTGCTTGGCGTGGCCAGTGCGGGCCCTGTCCTCTGCAGCGGAGCCCTGAGCGAGGTGCCACCTGCTGTGCCCGGCAAGGCGGGTGCTGGCTCCCCTCAGGGTGCGCTGTGTGCTCGCCGTCGCTCATCCACTGTCACGCGCCCCTCACGCGGGCCTTTCGCACAGGTTTATAAACGCCCGTGAGAGCTCATCAGAGCTGTGCTTGCAGCAAACTCGCGCTATGGCAAAGCTCCACTGTGACATGAGGAGGGTGGGGCAGAACCCACACTCCTCTGCATAGAACTCACAGGTTTGGCTTTGGAATCATGCAAGTGTTCCACATAATTATAAACAATTAAGTCAAAATGAACAAAATAGAAATCCCCCCCAAAAACAAAAGCAAATGCACCTAGTTTTGTATCATTCCGGTGTCTTAACCTTGCAGACAGGGATCATTTAAGAGAGTGTTGAAACACTGTAATTTCATTATACATCTCTAGTGGGACACACTCTAAATTTTTTTTTTTTTAATCCTCACCCGAGGACATTTTTTCCATTTTTTGTTCAGATAGAGTGGGAGGGAGAGAGAGGAAGAGAGAGAGAGAGAACCATCGACGTGAAAGGGACACATTGAGTGGCCGCCCCCCGCATGACCCAACCAGGGCCGGGGACAAACCGCAACCAAGGTACATGCCCCTAGTGGGAACCGAACCCAGGTCTCTCTGGACCACAGCCCGACGCTCAAACCGCTGAGCCAAACCGATGAGGGCTAAATTTTTTTTTTTTAATGCACAAAAGGCTTAAGCTGTGTGAACTGTTTCACGTTTGAGTAACAATATTGCTGTTGTTATTTTGAAACTGAGAGCTAAAGCAAATGAGTGACTGTGCTTGTGCCTCTGGGAAGCAAGGTCTCCAGCCTGCAGGCAGAGAGGTATGTTCGGTGAAGGGAGCTGGCTGAGACCGTGGCATCCTGAACTCGCCGGAACACCCGTGTGGACTCTTGATGTGTTCTCTCTGAAACGATGTATTTCCTGGCCCTGATCCTGAAAAGACCGGAAACGCTGAGCCACCTGGTGACAGTCAGCACGAGGGGTCGGGATTGACTGTGGTCCCTCCCGAGGAAATGGCTTACGTTTTGGGACAAAGGTGCAGGACAGCCCCGGAGCACCTCATGCAGAAAGCCCAGCGGCTCTCGCTGACTCCTGGGATCATGTCAGAGAGACTAGGAATGACGGGAAGACTCCTCCGCAGGCCAGAGGGGCGTGAGTGAGCACCCGTGTGAGCACGGTGACTGCAAAGGGTGGCCCCGTCCGCTGTGCGGAACCCACCCGTTCATATATAACATCCGTCAAATGAAACACTGGCCACCTTTTGCTGAGCATAGGAAACTGGTAAATAAGATTCTGAAAACTGGTAAATAATGGGAAAGACTCAGCCTTCCTCACCAAATCATACCCCAAAGGGCTGGCAAGCCTGTGCTCCAGGGGCCAGACAGGGGCTGACGGGTAACATGAGCGCATCCCCGGTCTGCAAACCTCATCTAGGTAACTTGCATCACCGAGCGAGAGGCACTGCCTGGGTTGCCAGGCCCAGCGACATCCGGGCGGATTCCTGCCCCAGCACCTCACCTCCAGCTGGGACAGACACTTTGAGGAAACCCAGGGCACGCTCTTCGGACAGGTTGAAGGAGTCATAGCTGGCGCCCCCTCTGCTCAGAACCAGAAAGCACTCATCTCTGTAGGAAAAGCCCATCCTGACCCGGATCCGAGAGGACTCCCAGTCTGGTGACAATGCCGTCCCCTTCCAGCTCTGCCCCCCTGTCCCAGGCTCTGGCCCGCTGGCTCCCTGGAGCTCCTCCCCGCACAGTGCTTGCACCCCTCCGAGAACCTCCCTGGAGATTTCTGCCACCCAGAGAACGTGGGGCTGAGCCCACAGCCTGCGAGTCTGTGCCGGGCTCTGCTGTCACATCACACCCCGCCCATCTGCCTGCTCACTGTCCTGCAGGCCAGCAGGCCGCACCGTGTCAGCAAGGTGGGTTTTCTGACATCCTGCCTGGTGTCCCCTTGTGCCCGTGGTCATCCCCCGGCCCCAGCCTAAGACGGCCTCCGTCACAGGTTGGGGTCAGACGGCTGTCAGCTAGGGTGCCCCGTGGCTTCTCCAGCAGGCTGGCTCCGCTCTTTCTCGCTGTGGTTGGCAGACGCACCACGGACACAGAGGCCAAGCTTCAGCGCAACGGCCGAGCCTGCCTTCGTGTCGGATTTGCTGACGCCCCGCAGGCTCACGTAAGTCGCACAGCCAAGAGTGTG